GACGTTGGGTAGGCGAGGATGTGCGACAGGGGTAACACGGGGTGCTTCTTCTTCCGCAAGGTAATCCGTGCGTTTTCTCTCTCTCTCTTTCTCTTTCTGTCACTCATTCTCGTTTCCTCATTCTCCGTTTGTCTATTTATCATTCTCTCACTCTGTCGCACTCATTCCCTCATCGGACACCTACCTAACCGTCCTACGCGCGCCCTTTCGCACCATTCACCGGTCACGTGAAACCGAGAAGGGACTGGCGATCTGCACTCGAGAAAGAGACAGGTCATAAGAGAGGAAGACTGGCCGGCGTCTTGTTGAACGTGGTGCTCTGGCCGAGGACAACTCGGGGCACGTATGGGACCGCCGCGAAGGGATAGCGCGACACGCGCGGCGGCGTTCATCCGGCAGACGGGTGAGACCGAGAGACGTAAAGAGAAGACGGACGGAGCACGGGGGTGGTGGGCTACCGGCAGGGAGGGGGGGAAGGAATCGGCTGCGGCAGCGTGGATGTCCCTGCTGTCGCTCTGCGACCGGATGTGCGGCACCGCCGCGTGGCTCGTTCCGGTCACATGCCTCCGCGGGGTGCGTTTTTTTCCACGGTTCACCTTTTGTGCTACTTCTTTTCACCGACGTCGCAAATGATTATTAAGCTGGCAGGTGGAATGAGCTCGCGATCTATTTTACAGCAAAAATCTTATTGTTAGTCCCTATACAGGAATAATTTCCCCCGTATTTCCTGGCATCGCATTTAACGAGTGGACGCGAGAGGATTTACGGTGATGTTCGTGACGTTAGCGTGACAGGTGGATGAGCTCGTTCGAAGCGCGCGTGGCTCGATAAGCTCGTGCGTTTTTCTCGATAGTCTCAGTGAGATACGAATCCGGCTGAAATCACGGTCAACGAGCTCGGGGATTTACGGCTGGTGCTTGTGCGTTGTCGAAGTGACAGATTGATGAATTTCCGCGAGACGCCGCGTGCTTCGTTAGGAATCCCCTCTTACCCTTAAAAGGATCATGATGGGACTTTACATTTACATCGCATTTGTCTCGAATGAAAAAGTGCTATTCTAGATAGTCTACCTTCCCTGATATTCGGTCCTCATATTCGGTCACTTTATTACGGCCCTCATAATTAGGTTAATTGAGATGAACGTGAGATATTCCAGTAAAAGCAGAAGTTTAAATGTATACGACTTTTGTCACTTGCTTTTATTAGACGCATTTAATGGAAATCTTATCGATCGTATTAATAATTAATGATTATCAATTTGAATTTTTTATTCCTGAAAATAATTTCTTCTTAATACAGTGAATAAAAATTATTACAAAATTCGCTAACAGAATTTGTTGAAAATATTTATGAAAATATCTGTTACCTGTATTTTGATTACATTCAGGCGACTGCAGAAATATTTACTTTAAAACACTATACTACTCATGCTCGCAATATTTCTACGTCTTTGAAAGAAATTAGAAGCTTCTTTTATAAGCTTGTGAATTCGCTTGCATGAAATATCTTCAATTTAGGTAATATTAATTAATAAGATAAAATTTGTTTATCTACTTAAATAATCCTTTAATTAAAAGTATTCAATTTGCAAAACAAGATACTTAAATAATTGATATCCCTACTTAGCATAAATCTATTATTGGTTTTAACTATCATCATAATTACACGATCTTCTAAATCATTGTGATCCTACATGATGTAAAATGTGAGGTAGCCAAGTTATGTAATTGCCAATGAAGTATGTGACATGTGCAGCCGATCTGTGACGTATGTAGTTTGATTGCTGTGGTCATCATTGATTTAGACTCTGACTAATCCTCTTTGAAGGGATGCCACTTGGACATTCAAATTTTCTCGATATTGCATGTCGCGTTATATTTCGACAATGCGGAAGGTACACGTCATTTTTTCATTTGTCGTCCCATTTTGTAATAATCAATTGTATAATCACTTTAGAATCAGCTGAACGGCGAAAATAATCAGTTATTGTTTTGTAGGAGGGCCGGGGGGAAGTGACAGACATAAGCGCAAGTCCTGGGAGGCAGGCACCTGCCAACCAGTTGCGCCCCAAGGAACCACCCCCCATGGTCATTCAAGGAGACTTCAGGAAGGTAGTGACGACACTTCATTAACTCGTTGCCGACACAATGGACGAATTTAGAGCTCGTTGTGTCGGCAAACTTCAATTGCTGGACAGCATGACGATGGATTCCAACACCCGGGACCCTATTGTGTTGCTCGTGAAGCTGTCTCGACGACTGGCAGAAACGTATTGGCGTGTGCTTTAGTCGCCACGCATTGTTCACTGTAATCTGATCGCTATTATATTAAACATGCCAAATTTAAATTAAACCATTCCGTTCTCAACCTTTGCATTGAAACAAGCAAAGTGAGGATAAATAAGGATAATAGCGACGTCTTGTCAGAACACTATTAATAAGGAAAAATGTAGCCAAAGATTTATTTTTATGTATATATGCTTGTTTTTGGAAGTAAAAAGATCTCATTACATTAAGATTTTATATAAACGAAATTAGGGCTGCATTCCGTAATTTATTGTGAGTACTGAAATTCTATAGTTCATGTTATGTATACGTATACTATAGATTTTTAGTACCCACAGTGTGAATAACGCAGCTTATATTTTAGTTTTTACATTTTTCTACACTGAAAAAATGATATTGTATCAACAGCATTATTTTAATTGAAAATAATCTTGTTGATTCACAATAACAGTATTAATGAAATAAATAAAATTTTATTAAAACAACAACATAACGTATTTGTTTCATTAACATTGTTATTATATTAACAAAATTATTTTCAATTGAAATAATGTTGTTTATATAGCATCGTTTTTTTCCTATGTATTTATTATTTATACGAGAGATCAACGTATTATTTTTATATATTGTTTAAATGTTTGCACGATAGAAATAATTTAATAAATAATAACAAAAACATTATTTTGCGTCGAGACAAATTCATCGGTCCACACAAAAATGACGATAAAACATCGCTACGCATTCTTTAAAACGGAAGGATCTACCGTTGCAGGTGAGCGGGATCAGTACAGAGATCTTCAAGCAGATCGAGACTGTCGAAAACGATCATGACGCATCGACAGCGGCGGCCCTCGAAGCTGTTGAGCGGAGAGGCGAGATGGTCGTGCGTGTCATTGAGCCTCGGCAAATGGGTAGACAGGCTTCCGAGGCGGCGAAAAAATTTATTGCTATGCAGGTACGTTATCGATGGGCCGTCTGTTTCCGACAGATTGTGATTCATTTGCATTCGAACGTAATATCTTGTCATAAATTAGTACTACGCGCAATTCTTTCATTACAGTTCATTTCAGCAATACATTAATTCCCCGTTTATCGTATACTCTCTCCTTTTTTTAATATATGATTACAATTCAATTACAGAATAGTTTTGGAAGACTTGAGATATTTTATCGTTTTTGCTCTACCATTAGTCAGAATATACGAAAATGCACGAATATTTATTACTTTGTTATACGAATATATATACACACACTTTTAGAAATTTGTTTAAAAAAATATAAGATATAAAATAAGACGCATAATATTAAACTCAATTGAAATTTAAATTAAATTTACACGGACTGTTCAATTTTTTTACTTAAATATAAAAATTCACGCAATGATTTACTTTATTGTAAAAATTCGTACAAAAATATTATTAGGCGTTCTTAACTGAATACCGCCTTCTTCACTCATTTGTCTTTTACTTTAATTTTATTTAATTAAAAAAAAATAATTCTTTATTACGTTTGTCAATGATTATATAGAAGCTCATAATGTAGTTATCAAATTATCGAGCAAATTATTTAGACATCAAAAGATAATATTCATTATAATATAACTCGCCTTGGCCTCCTCACGGAATTAGGCGAACAAAGTGTAACAATCTGCTTGCATGGTGGTCGCATTTGTATCACCCGGGCCAGGGAGAAAATTATTTTCACGACAACGAAGTAATTTTGCGCAGCGTAATTTCACCCGAGGCGCGCGCGTGAATGCTGTGAAATATTTCGACGGCACGAATTAAGAAAGTTCGCCGGCGATCTTCATTTCAGGATCCTAAGCACCCCATCCACTTCGTCGAGATAATCAAACGACCGGGACAGACCCTCGGCCTCTACATACGCGAGGGCAACGGCGTCGACAGAAACGACGGGGTCTTTATCTCTAGGATAGCTCTGGAGACCGCCGTGTACAACAGCGGCTGCTTGAAGGTGAGTATCTTCGCTCTGCCCTGCGAATTCACCCGCTGTCGCCGGGACGACGACAGTGAGAAACTGACGCGATGGAGAAAGCGAGGCGAGCGGTAAAATCGAGACACATCCGTGAATCGTCTCTTCGTCTTCTTTTTGCCAAGCGAGAACTTAATTGCCGCTGGTGCTCGGAACGAGCTCGGAGCAGCCATTTAGGATGGAGAATCTATTTCGAGAAAAAGAAAGAGAGAAGGACGCGATGGCGGGGGATGCGAGAATGCGCCGAATTAAATTTATCCTCTTACACCTTGACATTTCACGGGTCTCGGGCATCGATCAGTCTTGTATATTTGGGAGGGATATTTATCCTCTCGTTCTCCGCGATATCGTTGCTCGTCTTTATATCAGTTATCAGTCACTATGCATTCGCACGTGCAGGTGGGCGATGAGATCCTGGCGGTGAATCTGGTCGATGTGACGCACATGAGCCTGGACGACGTCGTGATCATCATGTCGATACCGAGGCGACTCGTCCTGGCCACAAGGCACGGCCCACATCAACCTGTTTCGCACAGCCGCCAGACTGAGCACAAGGCACCGCCCGTAGTAGTCATCAAAAGGGAATTGAATGAAGATGAGAGTGACCACACGACAAGTAATCACGTCAGGTACTATCTCAGACTGATATCTATATCTACTCCTTGAATTAATAATCAAAGGACATCTCGCAAATTGGTTCAAGATACTTGTGTATAGATGGCTTTACTGCTGACGTTATTACAAATCTTTTTATCTTTCTTCCCTACTCATACAGAAGCTTGTTAAAACAATAAAGTGACTGTTAATAAAAAAGCCGATATTTTATGAAGAACAATCTTCCAATTATAGTAATAGTACTATATTAATACTGATATTTGATATCGACTATTTAAATCTTTTCTACGCGGAGAAAAATGTAATATGCGCTAAAATTAATAAATTTTATGGAATAGGCGGGTCCATATAGGAACACGTGCTCACTTATGTAAAATTTACTTTACTTTTTTGGTAAATGAGTAATCGTCATACACCACTGTAAGATACTTTTTTACATTTTATAAAGTAAATTTATAAATTATGGTACGTCAGTAAATCTCTTGGTACCTCAGTATTCTCAGTAGAATTTATTTTATCAATAAGTATTTTTTGCCTTAGCACTGACAAAATTTATTTTACTACGCGATAAAAAATATGAGTGTATAAAGTCTTGAGAATAGTATGATTTACTTTAAGTCTAATTTACTGTAAGTAAAAAATCATTTAAATGGATTTATTATAATTGCAATTTACTTTTTACCTTACATCTTCTATATTTTTATTTCGAGGCAAGTAAAATTTGTCATAAGTTCGGCAAAAGTAGCCAGAATATTTTTACTAGTAGTTGTAAGTTAAAAATAACTCTTTTTTTTTCATGTATATCTTTTTTTTTTAAATTAGGAGAATAAGTTCTGCCATTAACAATTTCGAATATAATTAACAATTTCACATGAAGATTGATGTTTCATGTGTAGGGATGGCAGTAGTCGTAGACGAGGCGACGGACGTGAAATGTTGCCGTCGCGATCAAGACTCGGTCTCACGGGTTTGGGATCGAGCCAGGATCTCGGTTCGAGCAACGGTGATCTGTACTATAATTCACGACCAGAGGGTCACTGGTCCTATCAACCACCGCCGCCACCGGTTATCACGCACCAGCCGAAACCTTCATCGACGCAACATTTTCAACCATACGAGCGCGGCTATCCGAAGACGTTAGAGAGCTTGGCCGAGAAAGTAAGTATTGCGTGATATTTCACGCGTCGGAATACGGGAATCCTGCGGATCGAGATCCATCAAAATGACAGAGAATATCGCTTGAAGAACAAATCATTTTTCTAATAAAATTTTCTGTTTCAAAATTAGAGAAAGGATTTTTTAATTTTAATATCTAATTGAATCAATAATTTAATAAGTATTAATATATAATACAAATATTTGTTTACAAATATATAAAAAGCAAATAATATTTATTCTATACATTTCTAATTTTAATAAAATAATAATTTTTCATCAATGTATATATTTTTTATTATTTATGATATTAAAAAATTATCTTATTTTAATTATCATAGAATGTGATGATTACATTATTCTTTACAATACTAATTTATTTCTATATTTTCAAAATAGATGTCACTTATGAATCTCGATCCGATGTAGTTCACGCATAGATGTTCTAGACGATGTGGATCGAGCACCATTTCACACCTGTCTGCACCAATTCGATACTCGTTTGCCCTTCACTGTCTCCAATGAACGCTATTTTACGACTGAAAGAAAGTGGTGAACTCGTGGCAATGTCTCGGGACACTTGCTGTCGCGATCTCCGTGTCATTCGGATTATCGGAATTAAGAAGAACAATTCGCAAAGTAACTTCTAATAGCAAGGAAATTTAAAAAATATCAAAACCGCATATCTCACGACAATGAAAATGTCACTCGTATAAAATACTGACTCTTTTTTGTACATTCGTTCCGTGTATCGGATTTCTATTTCGAAGACAAATACGCGAGAATAAATGTCGAGAAAACTAATGTCTCGACAATTTCAACGAATGCATTTCCGAACGACGCGGAGCGTCGCCGATCGGCTCGCGTATCGATCACGTGTTTCAAATGACTAATCGGTTCTATGAATGAATGCTACATTGAAATTAACCAGGATTTTACAAAGGTAAAGATAACCCAAACTCTATCTTGATATCTAGACTTGTGTATGACTGCAATTTTCTGTATAATGCCTCTAATGGACAAGTATATAAATATATTCTCCCTTCCTCTCATGTATATATTTGGCGACGAACGAATGCGCGAGTGCATCCGCCCACGTAAGGCATTTTTAATTTCAATCGTTAAATTCTCACTTCTTAAAAAACGTAATTCAACGTAAATTCTTTCATTCTTTACTGAAATGTACGAGTTTTGGAATATAAAAAAATTGAGATCGTGAAATATGGATAATTAAATATACATTTTGTCAGTACATAATAAAAAAAAAGTAAGCAATTATATATCTCTTTTTCTTCAATAAGTAATCAAAGAAATCACGAAATAGAGAAAAAGAAATAATATATATAATAACGATTTATTAATATAATTATCAAATATATTAAATATAATTAAATAGTTTCTTTTATTATTATTATAAAAATCGTTTGAGATTGAACACTTTGATATTAATAAAGAATTAATAAAAAAAAGTCTTGTATCTTACGGTAGAATAAATCATTCGGTTATAAGATATGTGTTTAAGAGTTAATAAACGAAATGATTGCAGAGGATGTTTAATGGCAAATGAGTGAAATGTTTAGCCGTACTCTCGACGGTGCACCAGTGCATTCGTTTAACGAGTTCTGCCTAGAAAAAGCGTAACACGAATTAACGGATATTTATGTGCGTTCTTAAGCCGTAGAAGTCGCGTACACCTGCCGCTGTTTGCGACGTGAACCCTAACTTTATGTTCCTTGTTGCAAGCTTGCTGTTCGTTTGTTCTTTCGATTGCGTTTTGTGCCTGTGTTCTGGATAACGTTAATCATTGTCATGGCTAGCGTTATCGCGTTCGGTCGATTATCGATTGCTCAGCACTACAAAGTTGTTATAAATTTTAATAATTTCAAAGACTACACTTAAAAATTTTAATTAATGCTTATAATATTGTTAAAAAATTTATATCTATATGTATAATACATAGATCCACATTTTTCTTATGAAATTCACATTTCTCTTAAAATTTTGAATTTTTATGTATTAATCTATTTTTTATCTATTTTTTTATCACACAAATCATATTACAAGCATCAAGTATACATCATAATAAAAGGTAATCGATCGATCATAGGAGATGAGACATTATCGTTGTAATTGCCATTGACTTTCTCAAGAATTTAAATCCCAAAGGTATATATTTATAAAAATTTACAATTATTGACAATACATTACAATTAAAGAAAGAAAGAAAGAAACAAAAGAAAGAAACGAGGATGTTTGCGAGAGTCACGGCGATCAGCAACTTTAAGAAAATCTGTCTAAGGAATTGTCTATCTCAATAAACATCTATGAAGTGTACTCAAAGAATTCGTGCGATCATGCGATTAGGTACACCCTTTCTACACGGGGCCCATGATGCCCTCGAACGGCCGACGTATGTCGAGTGGTGGAATGCAATCAGTCGGTGGCAGATTGTCGGGCCAAACCACGCAGTCGACCCATTACGGCTACGGTCAGCACACCGGAAGCGGAAGGATCATGCCGAGGAGTGGTTCCGACCAGCACCTACCCCGAGTCGATTACACGAGCATCACGACGCCGGCGCGACATACCCTTCTTAGATCTAGCTTGAAATCAGGTCCGTAATGAATTTACCTATCATCGAAGTAACGACTCTTTGCCTCTCTCTCTCCCCCTCCTATCTTCTCCCTTTCTCACTATCTTCCCAGATCTATGTGTACACGGAAATTTTCTTCAATAAGAATTACAACGTTCTCAAATATTTTGTATAGAATACATGTTTATGATTTATTTATTTTTTAACTTATTATTGTAACAACGATGTAATTTATAGAAGTTTTAAAGAAATATGAGATTATATATCGAAAGAATTGGAAAATTTATAGATCAAAATAAGTTAAAACGTGAAGTTGATATTTGATAATAGATGCATGTACTATATATTCTAAGAATTAGCATTATATTGTTATTATAGGTACGTCAGCATTGCGTTATAACCCAAGGTACGGACAGACTGATGTTACATCCGCCGCGCAGAGGCAAGGACAATTCGGCACGTTGACGAGGCGGCATCGACCGTCATTGGACTATGCCTCCGACACCGAGGCTACGTGTTCCAGTTCGCCGAAATCAGCGTATTACTATTATAGGCACAATATGAACAATCCATCTCAAAGCAGCGCCGTGTCACATTTAGCTACCCTATCGAGGTCACAAATCGGTCAGAGTTCCTCAGGTGGGTTGAAACACTTTATCGAGATTGAATTATATTCGCGCTTTCGAAGTTATTTAGACTTAATCGCGATGAATAATACCTTTCTACGGATCAATTTTCAAGGGGTTAAATCAAATAGAGTAGTAAGCATTTAGTTCTTCGACTTATAAGTCTATCAAGTTATAATTGGAGAATCTTATATAGATTTTGGAAATAGAGTTTGCTAATTATAACCATTGAATTGGAACATTGAGAGAACTATATAAACTTATTAATAAACGTTGTACAAATCCACACGAATAACAGAGAATTATACATTCTTAAAGTTGTACATTCGAAACCTCTGGTAGAATTCATTTCTTCTTAAGTCAGAAGATTTTTCCGTAGGTTTAAGATCAAATTCACTACCACGAAGCGGTCGAACGTTGCCCCAGCAGCCTGGTCTCAGGTCGGGTCTCAGCACGGTCGCGTCGGGCCTGATCGATCAAGAGGACAGCGACGGCGCATTATCAGCGCCGGAATTGCCTTCCATCAGACGTGACAGGGGTAAGCGTCAGATAATCGAGACAATAACCGGCAATGCAATCGGTGAAACTGTACTTTACGCGAACTGACCGTCCCGATAAACAGGCAGAATACCGTCCTCACCGAGTGTATTCACGTCGGACGAGTACCGCGCCTGGCTGAGCCGCACGCCAAGTACCAGTGCCCTGTACGAGCAGATCAGGGCGACTACAAGTAGACCACCCCGTTATACATACAGCGCCGAGAATATTCATGCAGCCGTCAATCAGGTAAACGTGAAATAAGCTGAGAGCAGTAAGCTCAGAGCTCCGACAATCGATCGGAGATTTGCTAATTTTGTTATCGCCACGAATAACTACAGAATAGATTTTGCCTTCCTCTTCCTGATAATTTATTATTATACTCGTATATTAGTTTACTCGAATAAGTCCGAAACCAACTTCTTAAGATAAAAATGAATAATAAATAATGTGTCAGAGAGAAATATGCAAAATGTATTTACATGTAAATTTTTCATTTTCTCTTTCAATGTTATCATGCAATCATTAGCTTTATTTATAATTCTTTAAAGGTTTGTTTAATTTAGCAGTATTAATTAAAATTCGATAAATATACAATTATTAGGTGCGCAACTAAGTTCTCGCTGTTATTTTGATGCATATTCATCAAAATAACAGCGAGAACTTAGTTGTGCACCTAATAGATAAAAATCAAACAAAAGGATAAAAATAAATTAATAATCTAAAAGACAATCAAAAAATAAATTTATCTACTTAATTATTATAGCTTTCCGATTTTTCAAATTTAGATGTAGGTTAATTATTATTACTTTTGACAGATTCTCAGATTTAATTTGTAGTTCTATTTTGAACTTAATAATATTAACCAAGCAGACACTTGAAAAGCTATGAATGCATGTTAATGAAGTACTCTGTATTTCTGGTTAATGAAGGGTGACTACGGCAGTTACGGTGCATACAGGCCGCTCTCGACTACGCTTGATCGTTTGTCGACGAGATCGGCCTCGGCTCAACAAGTCAATCTTGCGAATCTGAGAGCGTCAACAGCGATTAGCTCGACATGCCATCGCGGTACAACGAATCCGAGGCCAGCCTCGGTGGCTTCAAGCGCGCGCACATCGCTGGCAGCCCAGAAAGCTTCACTAACAAGCTCCGCGAGCCAACGGGCAACATCGGTCAGAAGGATCAGGAACCTGTTGGATTTGGAGTCAACGAGGAGCATACCTACCCCAACGCCTACCAGAACTCAGGGTCAAATACTGCTAGATATTAATCCTGCGGGTGATTAGACAGTCTATCGCGTATCTGTCTACCGCCTCATTTCGTAAAATTGAGAATATTGAAAGGTTATCTCATTTCACAGAATTCCTCAAATATAAAATAGAGAAGCCACCGACTGTGGGCACTCCGAGCTCGACGAGCTCGATTTTGAGCTCGCTCGGAGAGACGACTGGCGGTGATTTGGCAAGTGGAGTCAGCGGATTGTTATCGGTCCATCTTTTAGCGGGGCGCGGTCTCCGATCGACTACGACCTCATCGGCCGCCACTACACCTTCCACTCCCTCAGGCCAGCCGAATTTAGGTGCGTTAGCTGAAATAATCTATATGCTTGTACGTCGTTTGAGATTGGCAAATGTCAATAAAATAATTATCATACGTTTCTACACTTGCCCCACTCTAATTTCAAACACGTGTAATGTTACAATCTCGAATACAAAAATTTTACGCAATAATACTACGAAATAATTTTGTTTTAATAATTATATATTGATTTGCAAAAACCTACAGCTAGTTGCGGCTTAAGAGACTTGTACTGCGTACTGGAGTGTGACAGGGTGCATAAAGCGCGCACGGTAGTACGAACCGGCGATTTGATGTTTGACTGGGACGAAACCTTCGAGCTGGATCTCGTAGGCAATCGACAGCTGGATCTGCTCGTTTATTCTTGGGACCCACAGTACAGGCACAAACTCTGTTACAAGGGATCAGTGCATTTGGCGAGTCTACTAAAGGAATCGCCAGAACATCAGCTGGCCGTCAAAGTCGAGCCACGTGGCACGATTTATTTAAAACTGCGATACACCGACGCCCAACAAACTTTCCGTCGAAGGGGTTTGCCGGTCATATCCTTAGCTACGAGGGTAGCGCCTCTCTTCGGAGTTGATTTGGATACAGTGGTAAGTTCTCTTTCTTATAATGATTTCTTTACGATGACAAATTATATCAAAAATAAAATTAATATAGACTCCTGAATATAATAACGAAAAAATATATCAATCTTTAATTTTTCAAAATGGTGCAGATTTAATATCTTCTTATAATAATTAATTTGATAACTTATTTAAATCTTAAGATGTAATAACATTTTTTTTGTACTAACTAAATAGGTAAGTCGAGAAACCAAGACTGGTGGAGTTCCCGGTGGAGTTTCTACAGCTTTAGCGATGGGAATTCCAAATGTTCCAATTATTGTATGGCGTTGCGTCGAAGAGGTGGAGAGAAGAGGACTTGACATTATCGGTAAATATCGAACAAATAATACTTTAAAAAAATCGAGTTGTAGGTGTTCATATGTATCCATGACAAAAGCCATTGTTTTATTTCGTGCAATAGGTTTGTACAGACTATGCGGTTCGGCGACTAAGAAGAGGATACTTAGGGAAGCTTTCGAGAGGAATGCACGGTCCGTAAATTTGTCACCCGACAACGTGCCGGACATCAACGTCATTACTGGTAATATACCATAAAATGAGACATAAGAAAAAGCATTCAGAGAAAAATGTGAAGTACCGATTGTAATCGTTTCTTTCAGGTGTACTAAAGGATTATTTACGAGAACTTCCAGAACCTCTCTTCACGAAGTGCCTCTACCAGATGATGGTCGATGCACTGGCTGTTTGTTTGCCGGACGACCCGCAGGGCAATGCTAAGCTTATGTTCAGTATACTAGATTGCTTGCCTAAGGTCAACAGGGTATGTATCTGTAAAATTTTATTTTAAATGCATATTGATTCTAATTAGAAAAAGAGAAATTAAATACAACGAGACTTCACAATCATATTCAGATTTTAATAACGTGTGTTATTGATTGAATAGTGCACGTTGATTTATTTGCTGGATCATTTGGCGATGGTAGTGTCGCAATGCAATAAAATGTCACCGGCAAGCCTCGCCGTTTGTTTCGGCCCGGTATTGATGTTACATTCGGAAGAAAACGGACCTCCACTAGATTTTCAACAACCAATCGCCGTGCTTAAGTATTTGTTGGAGATTTGGCCAGTTAAGTCAGGTAATGTACTCGTTCTTCATGAATCTACGTAAAAGACTTTACTCTTTCGCGAAATTAAGTCAATGATATCGATATATATTTAATTTAATATTGTTCTATTATATTTGGATTTAGTTACTGATGTGCATTAAAAAAAAACATTGGCTAAGAGTCGAGTAATTAGTAGCTAATTTCACAGACAGTTCGGAAGACTTCTTCAGTCGGTTCAACACTTCCTCGAGTTATGCCAGTAGTCGAGCGCAGCAGCAGTCAGCAGCATCTGCAGCAAGCGCAGCAGCAAGTGCAGCAGCAGCTGCAGCAACATGTGCAACTGCAGGGAACATTGGGACGCACAGGGCTGCCTTGGCAGCAGCCACCCTCACTTCATCATCAACCCCAAACTACGGTAGCCGCAGTCCTCGGGCCTTCCATTCGTCCTCCACCACCGGTCAAGCCTCGACAGGTAGGTCGCCAATAATTGTACGTTTCTCGCACGATTCATCGTTGTTGTCCAAGGAATGTTAACCCTAAACAGTGAACGAGCAAGTTCTGGCCTTTTTTTCGTTACGTATGCTTTTCATTGAATTACAAATATTTATAAGATCATTTATCTTAAACTGTCTATGAAAATTTAAATACAGAAAATGTAGACTAGATCACAGTAACTTTAAGAATATACGTGACCAATAATATCTTTATTAAATGGATTAGAAAGAGTGCGTCTCCTCAAGGGTCAACTATATTGATTTTTTGGTTCTCGTGAATTTGCATACTTGCGTAAATTTGCTTGAGCAATTCAAAACTTTGGAACCAGAAGAATCGATTGAGAAGACGCTTGCCAATATATGAATATTTTGAGTATATACTAATTACTAACAAGGTTAGTGACTCAAGTGTTCCTCTCCGATTTTGTGATGAGCTTTGAATATGTTGTTTTTTAGAAAATAAGGGGCACATTCTTTTATACATATTTAGTCTGATAGCGCGAATAGCTTCACGTTCTGAGCGGTTGACTTGTGATCTGTGGATTCGGATTCGATCCCTACATACGCAGTTTTTTCTGCATTTAAAAGAAACCACATTTAAAAAAAATCATCTTGTGTGATTAAAAGCACTAATCATCCCTCGAAAGGCAAACTACCGAGAGTATCTTTGCCATGAAAACCTCTTCTGAAAAAAAGCCGTTCGGATTCGATGTTAAAAACTATTTTTTTTCCATAAAAAAATTGGAAAAAGATAAGTAGAGCTATATAAAAAAGTTTTTTTTTTAATTTGTTCATTATAATTACAAAATACTACTCTTGAGCTACTTTTTCACACACACTAACGTCATGTATTTAGTATAATAATGTAAAAATATATATTGGTATACTTATACAAAATAAAAAAATTTTGTTGATTTTTTACAACTAATTTATTAAGAAAAATATAATGCCAGTATCATATTTCTCTTAACAAATTAGTTGTGAAAAATCGGCAAAAAATTTTTTTGTTATACATCTCTAAATTTTAAATGATTTTAAACTCAGATATTATATTGCTTTTTTTATGTAGCAAAATACAGAGGGGAAACTTAGATTATTGAAATTTTGACTGTTCCTTGAAAGACTAATGATTCACACACAGGATTAATTTCAAACATTTTTTTCTCATTCTTATTCTTCTATTATTTCGACAATAATAGCTTCGAGAATATTGTCGAAATAATAAGAAGAGAAAAGAATTGATTTTTTCGAAGAGGCATTCCACCTTTTAAAAGTGTATTAAGATACGTATAAAAAAATATGTCACTTATTTTTGTCTAGAAAACATTCAAAGCTCATCAAAATCGAAGAAAGATACTTGGTTCCCTTGTAAGTTTTCCTCCATTTTCGCTTCTTCTCACTATGCATATTGAAATGTTGATGAACAGCATGGTAGATAAAGTACCGATTCTATTTCTTTTTCATTCGCTTCGCAAACAACCTCAATCGCGACGCGCTGCCAAAGAATCTACGCTATTTAGTAATTATTGATTCGCCCTGCTTACATATTTTCAATCACGATGAGGTTTCGATCAAAAACCTTCCATTTATCACGAACTCGCAAACATTTTGGCATGTTTCGAGGAGTATGTAATGTTTATAAAATTAGATCATTTGTCAATAATTAGTCATTCTCAAAAATAATTTCAAAAATTGTAATCACATCAGAATAAAAAAAAAATCACATCAGAATAAAAAAAATTACAATATAAACTACTATAATGATTCATATAATTAAGAGAACTTATCCAATTAAACAGAAATTTTTACAAAAAATATTTAGGCTCAGTTCCACAACTGATGATTAACTCTTAACCGAGATTCAACTTGTTTCTTATTTCTTTCCAATTCTAGAATTAGTTCACCGTTAGTTGTGAAACTGGGACCTTAGAGAACAAACTAATTAAAAAAGAACAATTTATTTTTGAGAAACTTTTTCTTTGTCAAGAATAACTTTTATTACTCTGAGAAACATACTTAGTCGAAATGGTTTGTGTTTATCATTTATTATTATTATCATTAATCATTATATGTCGCGATATAAATTTGACAGATTTATGTATATTTCATGTATATCATTTATGCAAAATGCCTTCGTGCATGTCTCAATGTCATTTCTGTACCTCTCACGGGCATATATTGGGGATATGATTTCTATTTTGTGTATATAGTTTCGACGTCATTCCTATTATAATAACAATTTACGTTGTCTTCTTTATCTTTTTTCGTTTGGGCACGTATTCTTCAGAGCAAGCGCAAATTGCCGGCTCTACCAAACCGCTGACAGCACAGAGACGCCGCTTCTTGCACAGGTATCATCGTTATTATCGTTTTCATTATCGTGTACATCCGCCTTTAGTTCGTTGTCACATGCATGGCCCGATTCAGATATCAGAGAAACATTCATCATTTATGTAACTCTCTCATTCTACCTTCATGCCATCACGTTTTATACGATCTAAATGTCGCCAACATGCCGAGTATTTGTAAATACTTTTCTACGTTGATACAGCACATATTTTTGCGTATGCTCACAATTGCATTCTACTTCTACGACTGTCTGGTATTCGCGAAATTACGCAAAGCTGACTTGAAAACGATTTCGCAGAACTATGTATTAAAAATTTTCTTTGAAGAAACATATTAGATTTCATTCGCAATATAAGTCAATTTTTGTTTGAAAAATATAAGAATGAAATTGCAGTTTAGAAGAATTTTTGATGGTATAGATCCCTATATACAAGTTTTATATATTATTGAACTTACAGTTGGGAACTATCCTTCCGTAATACGTAATCCAGAGAATATATATACAGTGTCATCCAGGAAGTTGTGATCAAGTGTTTCGAACATTTCAAGAAATTGTTTAAAAATATATTATTTTTAGTAGATGAAAAAATTATATTAATTATTTAACTTTCGGTAATAAACAAGCTGTAAACATTTATTTTTATACATATAAATTTTATGCTCTCTTCTTTCTCTTCATTTCTTCTTTTTTATTATATCATAAAGTTCGAAACGTCTGATCAATCTTTATGAATTGAACAACCGTATCCAGCGTCGAGCACGACTAACCGACGCACCTTGACGGTGGGTACATTTTGTTCGCGCAGGTGATAGTCTCGTCTCCCGGTTCACCTAGCAGCGAGGAGTCAGAGGCCTCGCCAGAGCCGATTAACAAGAGCCTCCTGGGCAGTTTGGGATATGAAAAGAGCGACGAGACGACGACGACGACGACGACAACGACATCTAGTACGTCGGGCGGCATCGGCGTCGGCGCCGGTGCGGGCGTTGGCGTCGAGCAGGTGACACCTACAAGCAGCGTTGACACCGAGGAGGGTAATCCCCAGCATCCTGAGGAGGGCGAGAAGGGCGTCGAGGGTGACGTCGAAGCGAGCGATGACGATCGACATCAGCATATACCCAAGACGCACTAATTGTGACCCCCGTCATCGCGCGAGTGTGCGTAGCAAGTAACGGAGAGGCCACGGAGACGACGATTCCTCAAGAATGCAGACAAATTTGAGAGCTGCTTCATCAATTCGTACGTGTAGTATTGACAGAAGAACAAGCCGAAAGTTGAACCGGCTCGGAAAATAAACCGAATTTGCAGAAAGCGACTTAGTTAATTTCATTAAAATTGTTAATTTTGTAGGGTCATTTCATAAATATTCTCGAGTTTTCAGGGCTGAAATCGTTTAGCTCTAAATAACGAGATAGGATGAGCATGTTAAAGTGATCTGGACGAAAGTCTCGCACGGTGCTATTCGATTCATAAGGATCTTCGTTACGTACCCCAAAGAGTTACGGTAGTCGATTGATTCCAGTTTATTATGTTGGATATGCTTGCTCGCGAGGAAAAGTTAAAGTTAAATGAAAAAAGAGCAAAAAAAAAAGAGGAAAAAGCAGATAGAGAAATGATCTAGCTCGATCAGAGAAAGAGTGATAGTAATTTCTCCCTCGAATGTTACGTCTGGATTTATCGCCTCTTCTAATCGAAATTAAATTTCGTAAGAAATAAAATGCGATACGTAAGTACTATTACTGTATGTAATTAAATATAGCTGTAAAATGAAAGCGCTACGAAGACGGTCGAGCAACCAAACGAAGAGGCGTGGATACTATGATCGTTACTCGTCGTAGGAAGATGAATCAGGAACCGATATCGTTCTGCCAGAAGGGACTTGGACCGAAGACTAGTACTGTAAGGAGTTAAAGACAATTTATGTTACATCACTGCTGGGAAAGCGAGTCAAATAATTCAAACACTGCACATTCAATTCTCCATCACGTCACAGGAGTTTCTCCGAGAACACGTAATGGCCTTTCAAATAATGGTCTCTCGAAGCAGATGTTAGATCGCAGATGGATTCATCACGCATACCTTGCCTTCGATGCCCTTTTCCGGGCCACTAAGGGGGAGGAAAAAGAAGAGAAGAAGAAAAGAACGTTGTCCCTCCGCGTCGTCATCGTCGACATTACTAACATCAACACGATCCACATGAATACACAACACACAGAACTTAAGCAAGCCGATCAACAAAGAGAGGCGCACGTGACATACATAATAATCAGTTTATATGCGATATACTATATATACATATTATATATACATACGTAGACTAGTCACGATATTACGTGTGTGCTTTTGATAAAAAACTATTACTTGTAGCATTAGCTAGCTCTCGTATACAGAAACAAAAAAGATACATGAACAAACAAACTGATAAACAAACAAACAGCTAAACTAGATATACATAATATACATAAAAATGTTATACATACGTTGGAGAAGAGGGAAGGGCGAGGACATGGCGGCGTTTCTATATGTCGACAATAGGCGGATTCGTTTGGACATGTTGCGTATAGATATAGTATCGGGCAATCAACTGGCTATTGTATCAATACCGGGCGATCAATTGTCCGAGATTGGGTCACGAATGGTTAGAGGAGGTGATGCAGGGAAGAAGAAGCCGCGGGAAGAACTGACCGAAAATGATAATAATTACGAGTAAACAGAGAGAAAATGCTACGAATAATTACCTATACTTTTAAAAAGGGAACGTAAAAATGAGTAAAAAATAGCCAGTATTATTATACGTTTAAAGCTGTAAAACGACGATCGAACGAGAGGAAGAGTGCGAGAGTGAGCAAATGAGAGCGCGAAAGAAGGGAGAGACGCGCGAATGGATTAATATTAAGATAACAAACGATTAGGTGAAAAAAGGAGAATTAAATGTAGACGCAGCCGTCGTCGCCGTGATTGTTGGGAACGATCGAGCGACGATGAAATCACGCACTACAATCCGAAGCGAAGCCACGAGGCGCCGATCGTAACTAATTCTCATAGTTATCGCTGTAATACATCGTTATCGCATGATCTCGCTCGTGGCTTGGTTCGTGGTGAAGAAAAAGAAGCATTGTAATCAGTATAAACACGCACGTATAAATAGATATTATACACATCCGCGTAATCACATCTTTCCGCACAGTTAGCGTTATCGCGCGAGAATATTTAAGGGTTTAGGGCGAAGGGCAAGTCGACGGGGCGAGAGGAGACGGAGAGAGGGGTAAAGTTTTAATTGAAGTAGCCGCGAAATCGAGACTAATTGTATAGCTGAATGTAACGTGTACATATATACGTATACATATACGAGTCGCAATCCTAGCTGTATTTCCAGCCCCCAGACTGTGTGAATGTCGTTCGATGTGCTTGCGTGCGTACGTGTGATGTGCGTGCCTGCGTGCGAGTGAATGCCGGGTACCGAGGTGTCCTCTTTCATTTCCCCGCAGATTTAAGAATGAATTTTTCAAAGAAGCGAAAATTCCTCTTCGCAAAAATAGAGTCCGCGAGCAAAAGTCAATCGCGATTCCTTCGTTTTTCCTGTTTTCGAAATATTAATTAATACTTCTCTCTGAACTAAAATTATTGGCAGGATTATATTTTCGCTATGAATTATTGCTCACGAGAATCAAATAAAATATATATTAAGTACGATCTATTTTCACAATGTTGCGAATTTCCAAGTACTTTGTTTATAGATATCATAAGTTTGCAATTTATGTCCTCGATTTACGTCAATTTTTTTCAATTGTAAATCTTGCTCCGATACTGTGCGATATTTTGATTAACCTTCGTTCATTTTCGCAGGTGTCCCAAGTGTGTTTTTAAATTAGAATGACTCACATCAGATTAAGGTGTCAATTAGTTCCTATCGTCTCTACTCGCTCGTAGAGGAATTGAATAGTGACTTTAAATAAAATAAATGCAAACCATATTGTCATTTATCGTATGACATATTAACGTTACCTTACCTTAGCGTTCACAGCATAGTAGAAAGGAAATTGTGTGTATCATATGTATTATTTTATAAATGTGGTTCAATCGATGTTCGCGTCCTTGATGAGAAATCTTTAATATGACTTACAATATTGCTTGTGCTTCAGAATCATACATTCTATCATTATATACATTTGTAGGCTTATACACACATGAAGACCCATATGAGGTCTTTTGGTTTTTCAATATGATCGACTTAATACATCGTGAAGGGATGCAGACACAAAGATGGTATCCAGTGTTCCTCGCCGTCCTGATTTTAGTAATAAATTGATTATATAAGAGACAGACAAACAGAGAGAGAGAGAGAGAGAGAGAGAGAGAGAGAGAGAGAGAGAGAGAGAAAGAGAATGAGAGTATGTTCAACTATTATACGCGAAAACACACTGCCGCAATTTTATATAATTGACTGTTGTTATACCTATACCTACGTACATATATATTATATACATTATATACATACACATTATATATATATACATATTACTCAAGACTTAACGAGCCGCGATACGTGTCGCTCGGAAGGAGTCCAGGATATGGCCAGTGAATTAATTTAAGATAGTTTATATCCGTTGACGCGGATTCTTAATCTAAAATTAATTAAAATCTTTCAATGGCGGCGAGAGTCACGTTTAGTCTTTATTAAAATTTACAGAAATTCTGAGACGATGCGTTTCTATAAAGTATAGATATCTAAGATACTAGATATCTAAATATCCAAAACGATCTTCAGATTTCTGTATTTACCGAGAAAAAAACATTGTCTATAAGAATATCCAAGAATATCTAACGATATTTAAGATAATTATTATATGTGTGCCTGTATAAATTTGCAACTATCGATGAAACATTACAAAGTATAAGGTGTGCAATTTTTCGTGAGTTTCTCCCCTTCGACGAAGAGAAAACGTGACAAACGCGGCCGGAGGATCGGCAGGATAACGGAAGCTTAGGGGATATTACTCATAGGGATCTTCGTACGTCCCATATATACGCAATAAATGGTAATGTAATAATTTTTCCGAAATATATCCCTCTGTTCGTGCGCGCCATAGACTGGATGTAACACGAGGTCCTTCGAGAGTCCTCGTATCGCTCGTGCAGAATAACCCCTTGGTCAAATTGAGCTAAGCAAAGAAACAGGAAACGCCAAACAAACGCAGTAAATCGTGCTCTCGACTTTCCCACACAATCGCGATCCCCACACTTTATTTATCATTTTTCTCCCCTTCGTATCTCTTCCTTCAATAAGAAACGATAGATAGGAAACAGAGAATGTTCCGATCTCGCGCTATTGATTGGTCACGTTGGACAGTCGAATCTAGTCTCTCATTATGAATTCGCAGACGATTTGCAAAATCGGATTTAAAAAGTTGAATGAATACGAAAGAAACAGGTTATGAAATGGCAAAGAATGAAAAGATACGCGTAACAACAAAATTTGCGGGGAAAGAAAAAAAAGTCAGTTAAGAACGCTCGAGAGTCGCGTTAGAAATTCGCAGGACTTGCTTACGATTATGTGAGACATAGGTGTCAAATGATAGAAAAATGGAACAATGAACGAGCAAGGGGCATAATGTCGATATACAAATATAATTTTTTAACCTGCTCGCATTACCTGATTCTCTCGTGCAATCGCATTTCATTGATCGACAAATTATTATTATTACTTACAAAGAAATTCGCGTTAAAAGGATCCAGAGACTTGTATATTCGATTTTAGAATTCGTCTCGATTGAATGGTTTTGCAAGCACGTTTATATAAGGATTTTTATATATGTATATATATATATATATATATATTAGATATAGTTTCTTTTTTATGCTATAAATCAATAATCGCGATATATATATATAAAGAACACAGTTTTATCGACAATTTTTGAAAATTTTTTATAAAATCTGTCATAAAATTTTTTCTTTAACAAAATTTTAATTAAATGTAATGACAAAAGTATGATAATAATAATTTATTATTTTATTTTCATTTTTTAGGCAGATTAATATAATTACATTAGAACTTATTTAGCAATTAATTTATTCTAAGTGTATCAGTTTATTATTTTTAAGAAACGCAAAAATTTTTAACTATGCAAATTGATTTTTCGCTGTAAGAGACGGAGCGCACAAGTTAAAATATTTCTAACTTAATAATATACTATTGCTATTGCACATATATTGTTTGTAAATTACATATATAACCGCACGCGATATTAATAATTATAATACATTATAAGATATTCTCGAACATTAATATGTCGTACATACAAGTCTACTGGATCTTGGGATATTAGCATTTACATATAAATATATATACGATGGACCACGTTTGTCATACTGAAACGTTTCTAAAAAACAAAGAGAGATAAGGACAGAAAGAAAAAGAGAAAGAAAGAAAAACTAAAAATTTTTTCATGATTTTTCTATGAGTTAGAAGCAAAACGTAGCGGGGCGCATCGGTTTTTCTTCCGCGCTCCGACCACCATAAATTTCGTACATAAATGAGCTATCATTATCGAACTTTCTATATCTAACACTTGTACATTATACATATAGTTTTAGCTGTTTCCCAAAGTCATCGAATCGTCGCGAGGTTGACAAATGTTAT